AAGAACTTTGAGATTTCATCTCTTGTTTTCCTATTGTTTATCGCTGCGCTACATCACAATGTCTATGAAAGAGATTTTGGATGCTATGTGATTTAATTGAACTTGTATGATGGGTTTTCAACTTTACAATTTTCTTTATGGTGCTTGCAGCTCTTGTCTCTGGAGTATTGTTGGGACTCGCAAATCCTAGCCTTGGTTGTCTTGCTGATTCATACTACCTATCAAAGTTTAGCACTTTTGGGATATTTGTAATCTCAGGTTTCTTTTTTCCTTGAATTTGTTTACTCTAATTCCTATTACTTTTTTTGGTCTCAAAGATGGTAGCTTGAAACTTAGATTGCCCTGAACTTTGCTGAAGTTCGGTTTCTATTTAATATGCAGGCTTGACATTGCGTAGTGATGAAATTGGTGCTGCTGCTGAAGCTTGGCCAGTTGGATTATTTGGGCTGGTAGAGTTCTTGTTCACTATCTGTCTTTTCCTTTCTTTAATTTGTATTTGCATTTCATTTGGGGGGTGTATTCGTTCAGGATTTCGAATGACATTTTGAAACTTTTTAAGATTTTGAGTTTTTGGAGAAATTCTATGAAATCTTAAGTCTGGAGGTGGGATTTGAACTGGGATTTCGTATAACTTTTTTTCTTTTGAAATCCAGTAAATCTTATAGTCTTAACATATCGTAGTCTCAAATATGTTAAATACCTCAAGATTTTGTATGACTTTTTAAAATCTCAAATGAATACCCTAAGTCTTTTAAAAGTCCTAAAAAGTCTAAATTAAATACACCAAGATTTCTAAAGTCTTAAAAAGTCTTTAGGAATTCCAAATGAATACAACCCCCACGTATCTTGTTAACTCCCAGAATTATTTTAAAATGTGCTCATTTAAAAGTTCTTTTCTCAAGAATCTCCAAGTGATGTGTCATAATATTGTGTTGTGCATGGATGTTAGATCTACTGGAAGCATGACATAAATAGGGTTGTCAGAAAAACCCACCGGGTCGGGTTACCCGCGGGTAACCCGAAAAATCGGGTCGGGTATACCCGATAAGAGCGGGTTTTGGGTCGGGTTTGGGTTTTTCTTTTGTACCCGGAGACCGGGTCGGGTCGGGTACGGGTTTACCAAAAAACCCATTACCCGACCCGTTTACCCGACCCGTTTACCCGGTGGGTTTTTTCTACCCGACCCGATTTTTTACCCGCACACTTAATTACTATAGATACAAATAAATATACAAAAAATATATGTTCCAAAAAAAATAATTTAGTAACTAAAATATTTTAAAATTTTCATATATATTGAAAAATGAATATGGAGTATATTCATATAATTTGGACATAATATTTTGTTACTTCTTCTATTTTTATAAGTATGAGCATTACATATATAAATATGATCAATTTATATTTTTTATATAAAAAAAGAATAACTCTAATTATTATAAATGACATATATATAATAAATAATAATAAACAAGATAATAAGTTTATACGGGTGTAGTTTGTTTTATATATTTACATCTTTACAAATATTTAAAATATGAGTAACTATGTATTATCCAAGTAAAATTCTATGTATAAATCTATGAAGTTGTGTCTTTACCAAATACCAAGTGTTAGATATATCTCGCTATATGATTTCAAATAAACATTATATTGTCAATTTGAATTTCAAATTACATCATATTACTCAACAAAAACAAAAATTAATTTTAGTGTTATATTTCATAATCATGTTTTACAATTTATTTTGCATTTCAATATAATTTCTTTATTCATGTATGAAGAGCAAGTAGAACATAATTATGAATTGTAATTTAATTGGAATATAGGAGAATTCTATATGTTGAATTTATCAATTATCTATGCCCATAATTTGTTTTTTTTTTTTAATTTACCAATAGTTCTAAGTAGTATTATTTTACGTATCGTGATCTCTCTATTTCAAACTATGAGTAATTAAGCATTATCCAAATAAAATGCTATGCATATATCTATAACGTATTACCGTTGTTTCTTTAGAGTATGATCATC